ATATATATATATATATATATATATATATATATATATATATATATATATATATATATATATATATATATATATATATATATATATATATATATATATATATATATATATATATATATATATATTTTTATTGGGTTGTAACTGTACCATCACTTTTGAATGTTAATTGATGTTATGAAACTTGGGTTGTTGATAAGTTATGTTATGATATGTTAATGTATGTTTATATTGTATAATTGTTATGTTAATAATGTCAAAAACTTAGTTAAAAAAACAACAAAAAAACCATACTACCTCGCAGACTTTTAAAAAATTTGAAAAAAAATATACGAATACTGGATTTTTAATATATGTACTCAATGTTTGTTATCAAATTTCTTTAATATCTCGTATATCTTTTAACTAAAAAATTAAAAAATCTGAAATAAATAATGGGAAACAATTGGTTTAAACCAGATTTTTCTAAAAATCCAACAAAATCACATATTTTTGTTATCAGCATTTTAGTAAATTTGGAAAATATTCATGAATTTCTCAAAAATATGATATGTAATACAAAAATTCGGTAAAAACTCAAATAAATTATAAGAATACAAAGATTGTGTAAAACTCCGCTATACGAATATTCGAAAAACCACAAAATTTCTGTAAAAGTTTAAAAAAAAGTTTACTAACTTCAAAATATTTTAATAAAATTTTACACATTGGACATGTTGGGTAAAAGAACAGCTGGTGACCGGATAAATTATCCCAACAAGCAATCTTCCCGTAAAAGGAGATGCATGGAGATTTTATCGTGTTAACCCAATACTTTGACTCAACACCCCCACATGAGAGCTGTTATTAAAGTTATGCCCTTATTACATTTTTTTAATAAATTTTTTGTGGAAGTATTTGAAGTTACCAGATTTTTTGCATGTTTTTCTCAGTTGAATGAAGAAATACCACTTTTTTGGAAAAAAAGTACCCGAATTTTTACAATTTTTTTTATAAAATACCATACATTTATGCAATTACTGGTAAAAAATCACGGGGATCTACAAAATTATGGATGAAATACCGACTTTTTAAAAAATTCGTTGCATATAAATAGGTTTTTGAAAAATCTGATGCATATACACCATATTTAAGAAAAATTCAGTAACCTATAATACATACCAGATATTTTGAAAAATCCGGTACATACCAAATTTTTTGAAAATTTTGAAAAATTCGGTATGTAGTGTGGTAAGTTTTAGAAAAAAACCCATAAGTTTTTGACCTTTTTAACAAACTATACCTGATAAAATATATACATATAATGGAAAAAGTGCTACAATATCAATACAAAACAAATTATGTTGAATTCCTAACTTCCTCTTCCTAGTGCCTAATACATCCCGCATATGTTGATTTCCATGCTCTTGCAACTTCACTAGAATTATGTCTCCATCGGTCTGTGACGAGAGGCAACAAACAATTAAGTTTCAACTTCATCTGAACCTAATCACTATTGTCAATAAAACTAACTACAATAATTTTATGTCTACTCGAAGCTATGCATGAATCTATCACTAATGAGAAGAATGTGATGTTTAAGATCCTGGACAATAAGACTAATATGACAATGTATCTAGAAGAAATACGACAACCCATATCAAAATTTGTCATCTAATTCTCACGACCCTACACACCTAAGATAGCTACCGTAACACACTCAAAACTTCTGATATCGTGTTATAGAACACATTGGAATACATTTGATGATGTTGATAAACTTCAGTATCCAACTGAGTCTGAACCAAAAGCCAAGACTTTTCTCCCCATCCAAGTAAAGATGCAATAACACATAAACCATAATTTCCATATTTAGCCACATCAACAGTGTTATCAATGTATTAATGTAAGAAAATAGGAAACTCAAGTAAATATGTTTTGAAGACTGGCCACACGATTGACTTTTAGTTGGTTCTGTACATGATCTCTTCACACCCTAACTTCCATTTGGGCCCTTAGCATACTCCCACTACGAAGGATCACGATGCACATCAATATCTTCACCCTTTTACTCTTTTTATTTCCACTCATTGGCTTGTACTTCACTAGTGGTGGACACATATAAGTTATGGATGAATGTGTTAGTTCGCCGAGTTTTTTCTTCATCATCCTTTGGCCTACAATATCCAATGTTCTCGAACTTTTCACACTCTTTTTCTAAATCCAAATGTGTCCCACTATCTTCTTGAGTGACATCATGCTTCTCTGTGTATAATTTCTTTAAAAACACATGAACTGGTTTTAACAAAATATGCTCATATTGAATTTGAAGACTTGCAAGTTCACACACACAATGTAACCCATATGTTGTTCAAATGAAGCAACCACATGTATCTTTGTCACAAACAACAAATCTTACCCTTTCTAGCACCATTTCAACGTGCTATGTACACTGTCTTGAAACGAAGTTGTGCAATCTAGAGTAAAATGAAGTGTTATGTTAATGCTCAATGTTGGCAATACTTTTTTGAAATGATACTCTAATTAAACCTAATTGCAACCTTAATACGGTGTTCACAACATGCTAACCTCTACATAAATCTCTCTTGTTAGATGCCAACATGTTTTTAGTCACCAATGAGTAGACTAAACAATAAAAGCATAAATAGAAAAAAGGATGTCGTTATTTGACAATTAGTGATGTACCCATATTCAAACACATCGATGTACCTGTTTGTTGTCGTGTTCCATAAATAAGTGACTCTATTAGTCCAAGCAGTAACAAAATTTTCTTTATAAGGTTCAACCAAGTTTCACGCACATATTGAACAAATAAAGGAATATCAATGCACACAACCTCAAAATGCTCTAGGTGTACAAAAAAAATCAGACTCCTTACACTTCATGCCTATGTGATTCGACATACTCCTTACACTTCATACTAACATTTTTTGAAATACAAAACAAACACAACATATGAGTTGAGTTTAGAAACAAAACTTTAATAACATTCATCAACGTCAGTACATGGCCCGTCACCAAAACCTTCGGTAGCAACTTCTCAGACGCGAACAACTATTTCAATTTCTCTGGTGCCCATGTGAAATTTTCCTCCCTTTCATATTCCATATAGGCAAATCCAATAAAAAATGTCAACTTTGTGAATGTAACACTAACAATCTTAGGTAGTGGTAGTCGATACCTGTTTGTTTTGCATGTATAATAAATAATCAAGAGCTTCCAACCAAAAATCAAATAAATGAAAATAGAAGCAATTAAAGCATGCAATACCTATTTGTTTTGTATGTACAATAAAAAATTAACACCAAATGAAACATGTATAACAACTTCAATGAATTAGGATCCGTCCAAAAGATATATGCAACAACATTTGAATCATCCCTGTTTCTGGTCAAGTACATGTATTTCTCTTCTTAAATATGACTCGACAGATATTACATTTTAGTCAACAGACGTTACTTACTCGTCTTGAATGTATATCTTGCATTATACATATGGGTAACGCTCTTTAGGTTTTTTGGATCTCTATCTTTCAAAACATCAATTATGTATCTAAGAGCCATGTTATATAGGGTCATGTCATTCACAAACTATCTTTCATTATCTTTTAAATGAACTAACACGTCATGGCCATTTAAGTCCTTAGCTAGTATCTGATTGTGAAGCCCACACCTAACCATAACCTTCCAACTGCTACCACTTGACACACATCTCGACATAAATGCACATTTAACTTTCATACTATAACTGCCAATAGAAGAATTATTATTCTTGTAATTCCATCCTCTCTCACAACCCATAATTAATTTATCTCTCTTCTCCCTGATCCCATTTGCGATATTAGAGCAAATAATAACAACAATAATACCATGTTGTTTACCAACAGATTGTGGTCATGCTAACACGTCAGCTCGGGAGGGAAAGATCCGTCATTTACAACATATACATAATAAATTATCAATGTCAGGGATATCGTATGCCTATTAATTTTTGAGCAAGTTAAAAATTAAACATGTACGTAAAACATACAACGTCAGTGGTGAAAAATGTGTAAAATCTACCGGGGAATCATCTGGATCTAGATCACACAAATGAAGCATTCTGAACTACTAGATTTTTTTACCGTATGCAAAATATCCAGCATACCAAATTTTTTCCAAAGATCCATAACTTTTCAATGTTTCCAAAATATTTTGAAATATCCGGTAGAAATGTACCGAATTTTTTAAAAACCTGCGGTAAATACCCAACTACTTCCCAAAAATACTGGATTAAAAAAAATTCAGTAAAAAATTAGAGGTTAAACCCGCACCCTGTAATGTGTCCGTCCTGCCCGTCCCATTTTTTGTAGGCTTTTGCAGGCATGAAAATTAACATAAATTTATTTTTTAGGCTTAAAATACGCCGTGTCTGCGGGTCTATCCTACCCCGCCTCACTTTTAATACAGGACGAGACAAAGTTTTAGACTCGCACCGTCAACCATACCCTCATTGTTCTGCCTCGTTTCATTGTAGATTTTTGCGAGACGGACCTTACGAGGTGGGCATACCCGTTTTCCACCCCTTATAAAAATGCAACAAAATATTTTTTTAAAAAATTGATAAAAACTCATATTAGATATTTAAAAATCCGATAAAATTGCATATATTTCATTTGGCCTTTATCAAAAACTTTTGCATCACATATTTCTAAATAACTACCAGTTTTTTTTTTGTTTTTGTTTTTTTGTTTTTTATCAATTTTCCATAATGAAATTTTTAGACCGAAGATAATTTTTTGAAAAATAAATAATAGGAAAGGTATTTTTGTCATGTGAGGTGTCAGGTCAAAACATAGAATGACCGGAGACATTAATGGGCTTTTTACTATAGAAAAACCCAATAACACTCACAACCCAAACCTAATTCCCCAAGTCTTCCCAATATAAATTCCTCAACCAAACCCTCAAACTCGTGTTTCTCCCAATTTCCATCTCGTCCGGCGCAAACCCTAACCCTCTCAGAAGATGCAGATCTTCGTCAAAACCCTAACGGGGAAAACCATCACCCTCGAGGTCGAGTCTTCCGACACCATCGACAATGTCAAAGCCAAGATCCAAGATAAGGAAGGAATCCCACCGGACCAACAGCGTCTCATCTTCGCCGGCAAACAGCTCGAAGACGGCCGCACTCTTGCTGACTACAACATCCAGAAGGAATCCACCCTCCACCTTGTTCTCCGTCTCCGTGGAGGCGCCAAGAAGCGTAAGAAGAAGACTTACACAAAGCCAAAGAAGATTAAGCACAAGCACAGGAAGGTGAAGCTTGCTGTTCTTCAGTTTTACAAGGTTGATGATTCTGGGAAGGTTCAGAGGTTGAGGAAGGAGTGCCCGAATGCGGAGTGCGGTGCGGGGACATTCATGGCAAATCACTTTGATCGTCATTACTGTGGCAAGTGTGGTTTGACCTATGTTTATCAGAAAGCTGATGCTTGATTTTACTTTATGTTTAATTTTGATATTTTAGTTTTTGAGAATTGTTGTTTATGCTTTTTGGATATTTGGGGTGAACAATTTTTGTTATTGTCATGACTGAATGAATGGTTTAATATACTTTGTGTTAGTTTTACTTAAGTTATTACAATTTTCCATGAATTTGCTGAGTATTTTGATTTTGATATATGAAATATATATGTTATTGCTGTTGGAGTTGATTACTTTATTCAATTATTTGCTGGAAATTGTGATTGCAAATTAATTCTAGGCAAATGTTATTAATTTGTTTGTTATTGAGAATTTTGGAAGTTTGATATGTCTTATTAGATTAACTATGTTGGTTATGATTTGAGCTACATGTAAACTTAATTGCCAAATTCAAATTTGGAATGTTGTTTGCTTTTTATTGTGTCTACTGTGATACTATGTAATGTTATATTTATTTTTTTGTGAAGGATTTACACTTGGTCAAATTCAATTTTTGATTGTATTGAGTGTTGGAAATGACTAACTTGACTAGCTGATCATAAAAGTTAAAATTGCTGAAGACTCTGTTATCTGTTTTGGTTGTTTCTGATGCAATGCACCTTGAAACTTGTTTGATCATATATTAGTTTGGCGGCGTTTCAAGTTTGTTTTCCCCTTTAATTTGTTTCTAGTTTTTGCGGTTTGGTTACAGAGTTTGTTTCATGAAAAAATTGTAGTGATCTTCTACACAAGTTCTATTTATCAATTTTTAACAACTGAATTTGAAGACAGGTATAGATAGTTTGTTTTGTTAAAACATTGATCTTGATTAGTCTTTCATTGATCCAAACATTTTTGGTTTTGTCACTCTTATTTGTTGGTTGAAATTAAAATTTTCTAATAAGAAAATAGAGTTTATGCTTGATTTATTTGGTCAATACATGGTTGAAGCGGTTGCTTGTATCATTTGTTAAATTTAAGTTGAGCATTTTGCTAGTGATTTTAAGTACATGTTTTTTTGTGTGGTCATTTTTGCGTTGTTATCTACCACAACTTTAAGTGTGGTTGTAGAAAATGACAACGTAAAATATTGGTTTTGAACGAGGTTTTGTAGAGTGTTTATACATGTTTTAATGTGCTGATTTGTAGAATATGTTTATACATGTTTGTTATCGTAACTTGTTTCAGTTCCTAACACAATTCTTCAAACTCCCTGGTTGATTAAGCATTCTAAGGATATGTTGTGGCGAGTTGTATTTAACATTTGTTTTTAAATTTTGGTTCAATCAATTCTTTAAAACCTAATTTCTCTATAGATTTGGAAAATTTCTGTGTCAAATTGAACTATGAATTTAGTTGCCTTGTAATTCAATATTCGTGTCAGGGCAATTTATGAACTATTCGTTCTTAATAATTTCATTTCAAGTTCTATTTTTCAAATTGGTTTGCCAGCTTAGCATTGAAATTGTCAACAAAATGTTATTCCAGCTGGAGGACGTGACAAATATAAGCAACGGTTTTTGCCGTTATTTTTTTTAAAAAACTTTTTTATTTATTAAAATATAGGTTTGTTGGAAAAATTTTATATCATTCCTATTTTCTCTCCTTTTTATTTGCTCTTTAACATAAATATAGGCTTTGTTATAAATAGGCTTTATTTATTTTTTTTTAACTTTTTTATTTATTATAAATATAGGCTTTATTTAATTTTTTTCCAACAGTTTCTTCTCATTATCATTTTATTTCAAATTTTCATCTTTTTATTTCAAATTACATTTGTTTAGGCCAAATGGATCCTAATCATTTTCATTATCAACAAGCTATGTTCAATTTTATGCAAAATTATCAAAATCCTAATTCTCAAAATTCTCAAATTTCATCGGTACCACCAAACCCCGCCATATTTTTTCCGTCACCAAACAATTCAAATATGTATCAAAATCCTAATCCTCAAAATTCTCAAGTTCCACCATTTTCTACTCAAGTTGGTGTTGAAAAAGAAGAAAGGGTTCTCGTTAAAATTTTTTTTTCCAATCATGGCTCAATGTTTCAAAGGATCCAATTGTGGGGGTTGATCAAAAAGCTGAGAGTTTTTGGCATAGAGTCGCTGCAAATTATAACCAGTATCGTGGGCAATTGCGAGAAAAGTTAAGTGGTCAATTAAAATGTCAATGGCATCGAATAAATGCGTCGGTTCAAAAATTTGTTGGGTGTTATAGACAAGCTGTCAATGGAAAGAAAAGTGGGACATCAGAGAACGATATCATGACTGCTGCACATGCTTTTTATGCTCAAGATCAAGGTATAACATTCAATCTTGAGTATGCATGGCGATTGTTAAAAGATGAAGCTAAATGCGGCATCATCGGAGAATCGATTGGAAATTCTTCAAAAATGACACAGACTTCTGCTAGTGGGGCATCATCGGAGATCCCTGATACACCTTCAAGTTATGAGTTTAACTCATCATCACCAATGGAGCGTCCAATGGGACAAAAAGCAGCAAAAAGGAAGGGTAAGGCAAAGGAAATTTCAAATGCAACGCAAGATGCAAGGAATAAAAGAGCAGAAACAATGGAAAGACTTGCGTAGAGTAAGGAGGACGAGATAGAATTAAAGGTAATGCAAATCATGATGAAAGAAACTTCTACTATGAACGAAAGTCAACGAGATATTCATGAAAAATATTGTAATAAAATGAAAAAAAAATATGGACTGTAGTACCACTTTAAATTATATTTAAATTTGAGTAATTATTGTTATGTAATTTATTTTTATTGTTTTTAATTGTAATTCATGTATTTGAGATTAATTTTAATTATCATTTTAAATTTTATGTTTAATTTTAATTTTATTTATTTTATATTAATTTTATGGATTGCAGTTAGTACCACTTTAAATTATATGTAAAATGGTCGTTAATACCACTTTAATCTATCAAATTCTATGTCATTAGTACCACTTTAAATTTTATGGATTGTAGTTAGTACCACTTTAAATTTTTATGTTATTCAAACTAGCCGTTATTCAAACTAGCCGTTATGAATAACTAGCCGTTATTCAAACCATTATATATACTACCACTTGTGTCATTGTTTTCTCATTCTCTTCTTATTCCTCACTAAAATATGGATTCAGACAATTCAGATAGTTACGATCAAGAATTTTGGGAGTTAGTTGAAGAAGAATTAATGGACGACAGTGATGAAGAACAACATCTTCAAAATGAATGTCAATTTGGAAGTTCCTCTAGGCCAAAGAGAAGAACTACGGTAGATCGAGGTTGTGAAGAAGGGCACAATCGGTTATTCAATGACTACTTCTCAGAAAATCGAGTATACACAGATGTACAATTCCGAAGAAGGTTCAAAATGCATAGGCATGTGTTTCTTCGAATTGTAGATGCCCTCGACAATCATGATGAATATTTCCAAATGAGGGTCGATGCAACTGGTAAGATGAGTCTTTCACCATTGCAGAAATGCACATCTGCTATTCGTATGTTGGCATATGGGTCTCCCGCTGATATTGTAGACGAATATGTTTGAATTGGTGAAAGTACCTCAATTGAGTGCTTAGAAAGATTCGTTAAGGGTGTGAATGTTGTATTTGGGGCTGAGTATTTGCGAAAGCCTAACAACACTGATATTGAACATCTTTTAAAAATGGGTGAGTCACGTGGCTTTCCAGGTATGTTGGGTTCCATTAATTGTATGCACTGGGAATGGAAAAATTGTCCTGTTGCTTGGAAAGGACAATTTTGTCGAGGTGATCATGGTAAACCCACAATCATGCTTGAGGCTGTGGCATCTCAAGACTTATGGATTTGGCATGCATTTTTTGGTATTGCAGGTTCTAACAATGACATTAATGTGCTAAACCAATCTAACGTGTTTAACGATATTTTGGAAGGACATGCTCCCACTGTGCAATATACAATCAATGGAACACCATATAATATGGGGTATTATTTAGCGAATGGTATATATCCTGAGTGGACTACATTTGTCAAGACCATTTCAATGCCGCAGGGAGAAAAGAGAAAATTATTTGCTCAACATCAAGAATCAGCTAGAAAAGACGTGGAGCGGGCATTTGGAGTGCTCCAGTCTCGATTTGCAATTATACGTGGTCCAGCGCGTGCTTGGCACATGGAAACCCTCAAGCATACAATATATGCTTGCATCATATTACACAACATGATTGTTGAAGACGAACGACACACATATGAAGGTCATTTTGATTACTCTTATGATAATGTAGATGACAACAACTCAACAACTGAAACATTTAACGGTGTAATACCCCACATTTTACCCTTTCTTTTTTATTTTTATTTTAAATTCTGATTAACTTAATAAATTAACCTTTTTTAAATCTTGTTTTTTTAACTAATAATAATTTAATTAAATTTTTTTTATAACTTTACTAATATTTTTTATTAACTTTTTTTTATTTAAATCATTTTAAGCTCTTCTTACTAACTTTTAGGATTTAGATTAAAATTTAACTTTTTTTTCTTCTTCTTTTCTTCAAGAGTAAATTTTTTATAACCTTTTTTAATTAATTTCTAACACATTTTTTTAATCAAATTCTATTACCTTTTTTAAAGTTAAATCTTTTTTCTAACTCCTCTTTAAAGTTAAATCTTTTTCTATCTTTTTTAAAGCTAAATCTTTTTTTCTAACTTTTTTAAAACTAAATCTTTTTTTCTAACTTTTTTAAAGTTAAATATTTTTTTCTAACTTCTTTTTAAAATTAAATCTTTTCTCTAACTCCTTTTTAAAGTTAAATCTTTTTTTCTAACTTTTTTTAAAAAATTAAATCTTTTTTTTTTCTCTAACTTCTTTTTAAAGTCAAATCTTTTTTCTAACTTCTTTTTAAAATTAAATCTTTTTTTTTCTAACTATTTTAAAAATTAAATCTAACCTTTTTTTTTATAAATTAAATCTATCCTTTTTTTTTAAAATTAAATCTAAATCTTTTTTGACACCATCCTTTTTCAAATTAAAATTCTAAATTCCTTTTAAAAT